GTGTTATCATTTCAGTGAATTCTAAACTTTAAAACGCTACCCAGTAAACTTGGCAATTTCGACATACAATACTTTACGTAGGAGGGGTTGATATGTTCGACCACCCCGCAAGGGTGTGTTATGAGATGGACACCATTAATTTTAAGAAAATAATATAAAACAGAAAAGTATAAAAAAAACATTGCTTTTTTATTTCTGTTTTCTTCATTTTACTATATTATTCATGCCTTTATTGGTCAAATTATACTTTCATAAAATAATTTTTGAAGAATGGACAGCAAAAACTGTTGAAGGCTTTTTTTTCTACACGAACATACATTACCTAACTCTATAGCCTGAGCAAAAACGGATATAAGAAAATTCTTAGATAGGTTTCTTTTACGCCGGGACTTCATTTAATTTCTATGGGCTGTGACCCCTCTCCTTTGCGAATATATTTTTTTCAGAATTTAAGGGCCTTTGCAGACTGCTATAGATCGAGAAATGTGGAAGCGCAATATGAGCGAATATAAACTGTCCTATCTAAAGCATAAGTTTCAAATTAATCAGCCGTGATACTTTGACATTTTAAATGAACATTTACTTACTTAGACGTGTTCAATACGTTCCTACGACCAGCATTTAAATAACGTTCTTAATGGAAATTGCAAAATATTAACTGGATGTGACAAAGACGTGCAAAATTATAATTTAATTTCATTACTTAAATTAAATTGAAATAATTACTATCGACAAATAACACCGACCACCATCACAAACCACCATTTTCTCCTTTCATTACCACAAACTAATAAGAGTTACATTACTTTTTTAAATCTAATAGTGCCTGGCAAGGGCACCAGTGTTGCTAGATTTTTGCGAAGTTAATTCGCCAATTTAAAGCACTAGAAATCACTCTCAACTCAAGTCCTGATTTGAGCATTGAGTAGAGTTCTGGAATATGACCCTACGTGTGTTAAGTAGCTGATATTCGCCCAAGCCATAAATTCCCTAAAAATCAAGAAAAACAATTCTGCCCGGCATTGGGGAATATGAACTCTCCTATTTCCAATGAATTGTTTTACAACTCCATTCCCCACAAAATCCCCAATAAAATTTGTAATTCCCCAGACACTTTAGCCTAAAGTCGCCTTTTCCTATTTCAAACATAGGCTAAACATCGCCGAGTCGCCGATCACTTTGTTAGTCGCCGAGCGACCCCTCAAAGTAGCCTAAATGGCGAAAAATAGCCTAATCTGGCAACAGTGTGGCACAGATGATACCTTTGATATAATACGTGCATGCCTTTAATTTTATTTTTTTCCATCCTCTAAGCCTTTAATACACTGCACTCTGGAGAGTGCCTGCCATAGATTTAGAAGGTGCCTGTCTTGACGAAAAATCTTTTAGAGTAATCGATCGATTGTGTAAATGGTAAAATTGTCACGAAAGTCACATACGTTATAATTTGAAATGATTCATTAAACATTCTTTTATTTTCTAATCAATCAAAATTATTTTGCTTTGCTTTACGTACTATTATCCAAAATAAATAGATTGTTGTTGTCATAGTCACAACACAATAATTTATAATCGTTTTATTCTTTAATTGGATTCGCTCTGGGCCTTTTGGAGGAAAAAGTGTCGATTTTATTTTGACTTTCAATTATTTTGTGAAATCTAGTTTAAAGTGGAATAGGATAGTGCTATTGTGCCTTAATCGAAGATTAAAACGCGAAATTATACGAATCTCGAACTAAAATACCCGTATCGACCCATTTCTGAGGAATTCTAAGTCAAACTAAGCACGCCGCGCCGCCTCAAATTGCCTATCCTCTTTGTGGCGGCCATATTTACAGAAACATAATTAAACGTAGCCATGGCTCAAAGGACTTGTAACCAAGCCAAAATTATTAATAAAAAAATTACTTTAATTGCTTTTTTTAAGAGTATATAATGCTAAAATGAGAATATGCTTAATGAAACTTGTACGGTGCTATCTCTTTCACACGCAATAATTTTTCAAAGCATTACAAAAAAACGAAACACCAAATCTTTGATGTTGTCACGTTATCAACAACCGGAATATAAATGATTTGTCTTGTTTATTCCGTTAAAAATAATACTTTAAATAGGAAGTTAATGTTTTAATACAAAACACACAATCCTTTTTTAAAATGGTACGTAAATTATACATGTTTTAATATTTTTGCGACCAAGAAAGTTTCTTCTACTTTTACTTCCTATTTTTTTATTTTAGGACTTGAAAACATTTGCTGAAGAAGATTTTGATCCGAAGAAGTGGATTAACAAGGCTTGGAGTGCTAGTGGTAACCAGGAGAAAGAGGTACTATGAGTTATTCCAATATTTTTTGAAATTGTTGGCCACACGAACTTGTGTCATATTACGCCTTAAAATACTGTAAAAACATTCGTTATAACATTTCCGTACCCTAGTGTAAGAATGGTTGCTTCGTCATAGAGAGATCGACGGTTTTAATAATGTGGTAGGATGTGACAAGGTTTTTTTTAAATGCCTTTTGCAACCTGCGATCGGGTCATGAACCATGAGCAATTGTTTTGTTGTGATTATGAGCAGTTGTTCTATACGAAAGGGGGCACTATGAAAAGTGGACTTTTTGTTTTAATTTTTTTTTTGTTGGGTATTTGGCTTCTGTCCCACTGAGGGCAATTCTGCCAGTGTCCGGGTTGAAAGATACACGGTTTATTTATCAAGATTCACTCAAACGACGATGATCGGTTGCACCATCCTATGGACAAAGACAAAACACGGGGTTATTTGACTACTTTGGATTAAAAGCGTAAACACATGCTGTGCACATAGTAAAAGTTATAACCGTATGTTATTTTGTTCAATATATTTAAATAGAATAAATAGTAGAGAAGGTTTTAGGGGAGAAAGGATACTATAAAAATTTGTGGGACGAGGGATACAATCTGAAAGAAGATCGTATAAAGAGACGGGATATAATGCACAGTTAAAAAATATATGGTCAAGAGTTCCTTCTTCAAGACCGCACTCACAAAGGGAGTGATCCCTTATCCTGAGCTTAGCAAGAAAAGTGGGTCTGCAGTTATGTCCTAGGCGCAATCGGATGATAGTTGAAGTTGTTCTTTTACTGGCCTTGCGGAACTCGAAAAACCAAGGTTTCTTGGGTATTACTGGTTGAAGACCAGCATAATATTTGCCTTTTTGTCTGCTAGAAGACAACCAGTAAGTCTTCCAGTTATTGTGTAAATCAACCTTAGCCTGGGAGCATAAGTCTTGAGAAAAACATTCATCATATATAATGGTACCAGAATGAATCGCCCATTTAGCCCATCTATCCGCTTGTTCCTTCCCAGGAATGCCAGAGTGTCCAGGAACCCAAACAAGAACAATTTGTATGCCAAGATTAGAGCAATTGTAAAGGAGCTCTTTTGTTTTAAGATTGATTGGGTGAACATCTTTGCTACGAAAGGGGATTTTTGTTTTAAATTGTTTTTAGTTGTTGTTTTGGATAGATTAGACCTGAATAAAGTGGCCTGTTTCCTAACGTCTGACCATAAGACTGGTTAATATTCAAAATGTATTATGTGTTTTAATCACAAATTATTGCTTTAACACTTAAAATCTATCAGTGGCAGGTTGTGATGAATGAAAGTAATTTTTTCAGCATTGGTTGGTAACAAACAACCATGTAACTGCTCTTAGAGGTTAATAATCACAATCCTATTAGGTTATAAACCTGTCATGATAGTTTATAAGTGTTTTTTTTTTAATAAATAAATAATAGGAATTTTCAGATAATTATGAATATCATAATTTTTTTGTGAACCATGACATGGAGCATTTCCCAGAATTTTGAGCACACCATTTTGGAATCTCTGTAATAGGTATCTCTAAGGGTGCATTTCCATTATGTCGTGGCGACAGATAGTCGTCCAGTTTAAAGTGTCATGGCGTGTAAATTTCAATTAAGTTGTTCACACATAGAACAATGCGATTAATTGTCGCTCACGACTTTTTTGACGGTCATAACGTAACGATAAATTAAACGTCGCAATAAAAATGTGATGACAGATAAATGCAGTGTGAAACGACAAGGAGGCAGCCGTGAACCGATAATTGTCGTCAAGATGTGAGAACAGCTAGGCACGACAGATAGCCGTGATATGGGAACAGGCTAGACGCGACAGTCATCCAACGATACTTAATAGTTTACAGTTGAATGTTGAGAAATGGACAATTATGTTTTATTATTTTATATATTTATGTTTTTCTCGTGCTCACAAACAAGTAATCAGGAAGTATAAAATAAATGATACTCTGATTGGTTGCGCTACATCAGTCGAAAGACTTAGGCACGTGGTTCGACACTGAGCTCACTTTCTGAGAACGTATCACAAAAATTAGTAAATCCTCCCACAAGTGTCTCGGCTTCGTCTTAAGACCATCAAAGTCGTTAAAGACCAACCTCACATTGTGTCTTTGGTATAACACTTTTATTCGGAGCAAATTGGAATGTTCATTTGGAACCCTGTCCACCACAACCACACACAAACATTAGACATAATTCAAAAGACATTTGCTCGAAATTTATACAAGAAGATGTACGGATATTACGCCTTACTTTATCCCGCAACATTTATTTTAGGTATGGTAAATTAAATAATGCTAGAAATGAGACGCAATCTAGCTCTTGTAACTTATATGTTTCGTCTAGTATAGGGAATAATATACAACCCATTTTTGTTGTCCAAGATAGGCTTTTTGGTGCCTAGAACTAATCTGGTGCGACTTCATAGAATAAGGTTATTTGCAGTACCTATCACACGATGTAGAGTGTGTGAGATAGCTCCTCTGCCCCAAGCACTTAAGTATATAAATCAATTTCTTAACTTTGACTCTTCGTTGGACCTTTTTGCATGCTCAGAATCAAAACTCATGTTTTCCGCAGGACGCTATCTGGAGTCCTTGACTGGAGACAGCAGTATTAAGTAATAGGTATTATGTGTTAGTTTAAATGTTATAACATTTAAACAAATAGATAAAATCTATTTGTTCATTAATGTTAACCTGTAATAATTTATTGTTTATGGTATTGTATTTATAATTTTATCAATTTTCATATTTTATTCATTTTTGTAATTTACTTAATACTGTTTGTTCATTTAGCTTTAAGTCTTGCTATTGCGTTCGGGTTGACTGTAAGCAATATGTAATAAATAAAATAAATAAATAAACGATAAATAAAACGTTAGGACGTAATGGGAACGCGCCCTACGTTAGACGTACTTGCGGATCCCGACAGTTGCAACCATGTTGCAACACAACTCCAAAGCTCTTCGAGGACTGTTTTGTAGATGGGATAGCTTGTCTTCAAGGGACAACCGGGACTGTTTGCCCAGAAGCCATTCCAATGATCTGAAGTTGTTATTGACGTCATCACGAGTCTTTTGTATGTGTGTTTCCAAGTTTATCTTCGGTCAAGTCACAGGATTTTAAAACGTATTATTATTATTTTATGTTTCAGATATTTGTTGCAAACTCTGTAACCAGGCTTCAATTGTACATGAAACAGCTAACTAATTCTCTGGATGAGACTACCACACAGGTAAAAAACTTCGTATAATAAATTGTATACAACGGTCATTTTCGGACTAGCGTTCACTACCTAATTTCAAAAAAAAAAAAATTTTTTTTTAAATTGCAAACTCGAGACGTTAAAACCCTCAGCTTCGGCTTTCTAACAAACTCTCGTTAGTAATTTTTTATTTACCGCCCTTAATACACAATGTCAAAGTCGAATAATCATTTTTTAAGCTATTGCTCGTTCACTACGCTGACCTCCCTGAGAAGAACGAGCAAGACACACACAACAGAAATACACAACTATAAATTTTATTTGTATACATATAATATAGTCTTACAATAAAAATATTATTTATTGTGTCGTACAATGGAAGCGCACAAAGCGACGAATCATGGCAAAAAACTAAAATTTATGATGAGAGCACCTGTGTGATCAAAGTCGTTGATTTTCAACTATTCCTAAAATATGCCTATTATCACATATCTAATTTACATAAACATAGATATCTTATTTTACCCTGGCCTCTCGCCACCCTACCCGCTTGACGTTGAGTTTTGGGACACCCTGTCTATCTCACTGCTGAAAACTTGTCTGCTCTAAGGAGACGGTTTAGGCCAGAGACCCTCAAACTTATTGTCTCATACCCCGTGTGCCAATTTAATCTATTTAGGTTAGACCATTTCTAATATTGAATTTTTACAAATTCGTCAACTTGTAACATTTTTTCTAGACATACACAAATGTACGTAACGTTAACGTACTATATTAGTAGGTGCCAGTAACGTAATATCTTTAAGTGTTTTTATTGTATGTCAGGATGTTTGACCACCATTACATTTAATTACTTATATTTAAATATTTATTACATTTAAGTATTTCGTTACCCATTAGCATGGCACCTTTACAACTACCAGTCCTAGCTAGAGATGTCGCTATTCACTGTAATTAAGTCGAAGGATTTTTCTCTAAGTGTTCGATCTTCTTTCTTGTTAAATTTTTCAGATAGTGACTTCAATACCTCGCATACTTCAAGATGCGTCAGCTCTCCAAATGGAAGGTGCTCTTCTTCAGCAGAAGCTCTTGAACTTGGAGAGCAAAGTCCAGGGTGTTGAGGAGCAGACTGGACACTCCATTGAGAGTCTACAGCGGATTGACCAGCTTAAGAGCCGGTTGGAGGTATAGCTTGTAAAAATTAATTAATTATTTAAATTTTTATTGAATTGATATTCAATTATTTTTTGTGAAATTAGTCCATTAGTTTGTTATAATTATTAATACAAAGATCGAACACTCAGAAAAAATTCCTTCGATCCGGTCGGATTCGAACCGACGTCTTCTTGCATACCGTGCCAGACGCTATACCAACTAAGCCACGGAACGAACCAACGGACCTCACGAATTTTTCTATGTGCTTGCGTCGTGTCTTTGTACTTGGTCTTTCAACGGCGAATTAGTTAATTGTCAAAATAGCCGTTTTAATCTTTTCATCCATTATATTATAGAATGCAGCATCAGCGTTACGCGAAGCAGACAAATGGGCAGCATTGGCAGTTTCCCTGGAAGACATTTTGGAAGCTGGTGTACCCACACAGACCGACAAGTTGCACGAGCTGGCTGAGCAGGTAGCTGCCATGACAGGGAGCCTGGAGGTGAGGATGATTACCCTCTTTATCACTAGGAGCACAGATCAATAATGTTCTACGGAAATTGGCGGTTACATTGTTGATCTATTTAGTTATTTGTACGGGCTCGGCTATGAAACTCCTTTCGTTTGAACCGACTTCGTTGTGAACCGATTTTGGTGATTCTTCTTTTATTGGATAGAGGATACCTTAATATTGGTCCCGTTTAAATTTGATATTCCACCCCTGAGGGTGGCAAACTAGGGGATGAATCCGGTTTCGCGCACTTGCCAAATAGATGATATTTGGGGTCGGTTTTTTTAAATAAAACAGTTGTTCATATTATTGATCTAAGCCTACCAGATTTCTTGAATGTGGAGTGTAACTACGATTTTTTTTGTATTCGACCTCCGACAATATGTGTTGTCAGACGAGACCTGTTACATACAAACAGACAAAAACGTTCCACCAATAAAGCACTCTACATCGTCCAAAAAAGTACCAGGCGATCGGAAACATTACAGAGACCTTTGTTACACTTAAGGTTCTTGGTGACGCGCCAGACTACGAGAACAAGAAACTTCAACTAGAGACGCTATATAACAGGCTAGAAGCGGCAGTCAGTCCGCCTTTGATTGAAGCTCTCACTCAAATGGACCCGGGTAAGTTACATTCCACCTCCAGATATGTGTTAGGCAGGCCTAACTTGGCCTTTCTCATTATAAACAATCTAACTTGAGTAATTCCTGTGTAACAAATTTTCAATAAGTCACAGTCAATGGTCACGGTTGACTATATGACTATAACAAATATACGCGATTTAAATCCGGAAAAATAGTTTCATTTCCTATCGTACAATTTCTTTTCATTTTTATTCACAACACCCGAATCGAACGTCTGACTGTCGTATTCGAAACAGGAGGACTATTTCGATCTCCGTCCAACATCCGTCCCAAACAATTACTGTCAAATAAGTAATATTCGACAAAATTAAAAGACAAGTATCCAGTATGAAGCTTCATTCGCATCACGCGTCTTTTCATTTGGTCAAGTATTGCTTATTTGGCATTAATTGTTTCGGACGGATGTCGGACGGAGATTGAGAGTAGACCCCCTGAACTGAAATGACGTCACACTCGTACGACTCCGACTTCTCAACCGGCAAAGGACACAAACGTTATATACGAAGTTATCGAATGAAAGTTACCGAACGTCCTATTGTTTACAAAGCAAGAATGTTATATCGAAATCTCTTATCATTTTAAATAAGTTTGGATTTTGTTCAATTTTATTAATTTATTTTAATGCCAGACTAATGCATTCCCATATTTTAGGCCTTTAAAGTCTTAAAAATACATATAAAAGGATTTTTATTTTTTTTATTATCTATTGCACCATTTAATTTAATTTAAATTAAACCATTTAATCTAGCAAAACAGTTTTTCCTAGGGGCCTACCATAACCTTTCAAAAAACAATCTTATTTCGATGTAAGCTTATTGTAAAATTACTCATATTAATACCACGACAAACCTATCAACCAAATAATGTATTATTACTAAAGTGACTGAAAGAACGAATGATTTCCCAATATTGTCTATTCCTTACTAAAAATAGGAAATAAATAACGCTATATGAATTGTTTAATGCCTTATCTCTCTTTTTTAATGTTTCGAATCGTCCTATTGTAGTATAATGTTAAAGTACGTAATGTTATTTACCTTCAGAGTTTTTAACTGCTAAAAAAAGAAAAGTATGTAATAATGGAATCTATTAAAACTACAATTAATTAAAATTAGTCACAAAGCTGCCAATAAAACATCGTAGTTTTAACATTATAATAAGCATACTTTAAGCGCGTCATGGTACGAAAAGTCAATGCAAGGTTAAAGTATTATTGTTTTAAGAGGTTGTGGTAGGCCCCCTGCTTCTCCTGTGACTCACCTTAAAAGAATAGCCCTTGTCATTAGTTTATAACCCTATTTCACAGACAAAACAGCTACTTATGTAGCGCTATTCAGCGGTATGTCCCGTAGCGTGTCTGTGCTTCGCTGCTGGCGACGGGCTGCTGCAGCTCGGCTGGCCGCCGCCTGGAGGAGACTAGATCATCACTCTATATACGCCTTGACTAGGTTGTTAACTGCCGATGCTAATAAACAGGTTAGTTACCAGTTCTCTCTACTGCCACCTCTCTGATTCTGAGGGTATGTTCTACCATCGTTATCACAGAACAATAAATATAGTAGAAGTGCTTAGTTTGTATGGCACGTGGTCCAACAGTATGCGGAGTTCCCCAAATTTGAGCTCAGTCCGCAATTTTCGTTTTTTTTACGTTATGGTCGTGTCTATCTAGAATAATGCCTTATTTTGCTACTTTGGAGTACAACAATGATAGTCGCACTTGAGATCTGTGGTTGTGTTTCGTATCTTCATTCAATTTTATTTAATTTTAGTAAATTTATGTTTATACAAGTGGTAATATTTTTTTGTTACCAGAAACGAAAGTAAATCATATAAACATCTCCAACTTGTCGTCGTTCATTTCGTTCGTCGTCGAATGTTTGAGAGACAGCGGTTCTGATAGTAATCGAACTTAAGTCACTTCCATTGTTTCTTTTTTTCATTGTAATGGGACGAGCTCAGAAGAACTGGTGCCACTGTCACGTTTCAACCATCGCACCTCTCGCCAAAGGAGTAGAGCCAATCTTCACATCATTGTAAAACCACGCGGCGCGGGTATCACGTTCGTTCCTTGTTCGAACCTGCGAGATGTGCAATTGTCTCTCTCCTGAAGAATTTCCTTTGCGTTATGACATAAGATTTTTAAAAACTCAATCTGTTTTTCTGTATTAATTTGTTTGAAAATACAAATACACGCGATTGTGATCCGAAAAAATACTTTCTTTTTCCATAAATCGGTTTAATGCAATTTAGATATTAAAGTTGATAATACATTGTCCCGTTACAGGTTGAATGGTTAACTGATGTGCTGAAGTCGGAGACTCCTGTTTCAGAATTGATCAAACTATACACCGATTTATTGGTCTCCTTGGAACCTTCGCCTAGTAAGGTACTGTAGTTCATCTTAGAGCAAGTTACTGACAAGTTCGAAAATACTTGTCTCTTAGCCATTTACAGGCCTACCGCTTAACTGAGGCGGTTCCTGAGGTAGATGCGCGGTGCGGGAGGGGTGACAGTTACATAACAGGTATGTCACGCTACACACGGGATCATTTCAACAAGATTTTTCTGACAATATTAAAGTACTTAAATTATTTCTAGAGAGCATTGACCTCAAAGATCAATGCTAGAGAGAATACTTTCACTCCGCTGCCATCATGACATTTGTCGCACTTTCAGGTAGTGTCGGCAAATCTGAAGCTATCTTCTTCTCCTGATGAAGGCCTAGTACTTTTGACAGATCTAAAAAGAGATATAGACGAATTCGTGGCCTGTATCAAGAGTATTATGGATGCGCCTAGGCAGAATAAAGGTACGTGATTATTTCCACACTATAATAGTACATTGTGTATTATAAACTGTAAATAGGAAATTACTAACAAGGGTCTATTAGAAGCCCGAAGCCGAACGCTGAGGGCTTTAATAACTCGAGTTTTGTGTCGTATCTATTTCGTCGCAAATGTTTTTCATCACATTTGCGACGAAATAGATACGACGATAATTTATTTCTTGTATGAATAAATATCGCTTCACAACATAATTTACGGATTTTGCAAATAGTCGGTTTTTTTAAACAGATTGCCAGCTATTCTTCCATAGATAATACAACTCGAAATAAAATGTTATAAAAGGCACAGACTCGTGCCAGTCACAATGTATTAGATATAAAATAAATAATTTCCAAATTCTTAAAATACTGCAGCATTTGAATTCACAAAATAAGTTTAGTAAAATACGGTTTAATTGCAAATGTTTAGTTTTGGCTAATATTGTTGTAAAAAATCCATACGGCGATAATACAATGAAAAAGGCCGTGGGCACACATTTAAGTCATTACGGTCTACTTTGCTCGCATATCATGACACTATTTACGAGCAAGTGTGATGAAAAATATATTTTCTTTTATTTTATTTTAGAAACAATACAATCATCAACCCTAAAAGAACTGGGCAAAGCTGCGTATGCGCCTTTAAGAGAGCTACTACCGCGGTACACTGAACTACAAAGTCAGCTGTTTTTGGCGAACTTGAACGATCCTATGTTAAAACAGGTCAGTGAACTTCTTCGATGATTCTAATCGCCTGGTACTTTGGATTTTTTTAAGACTTCACATATATACAGCTGCGAAATGTATGTTCATCATTGGTATTGTTGGTTAGATCGATTGTTTGTTATATACATCGAGTATTTAACAGAAATAGAGACGAAATAAGGGCCATCAATCCCTGACAACCCATCAAGCAAATGAAACTTATAACACTTTTAAATATCAACTCTCGTTTGCACTGAAACAGCATAAAATTAAACTATTTTGTTAGAACAAATTTCTTATCTGTGAAAATGTTATTATTGATTAATAATAACATCAAATGCGATTTTATTATTACATTCAAATTTCGAACATCTCTGAAAAACGAAACAATTTTATTGGACCTCAATTCTAATATCAGTCGAGATGAAGTTTTATTCGAAATGAAATGTCAATAGCAAACTACACACATCAAAAGTGTCTAGGGATCAAGTACGTTTAAGAGAATTGCTGCAATTAGGGTTAATTATATTAACTTTTTTGTATCGCTATTGATACTTTTTAGTGAGTTTTAACATTTAAATAAGGAATATTGTTTAAAATTCGATAATAAGAAGAAAATCGTTTGTCAATGTGGTTTTGTATAAAAATGAGTTATAGCGTTTTGACAAAATCATTACAATATCTGCACCGGAACCGAAACAATTTACATTATTATGGAGAGACGACATCATTTAACCCGAGAAGTGATGATGCGAGCCGTCGGAATGTTGGAAGCTGGTTCCAGGCAACGTGCTGTGGCTTTCACTCTTAACACTACACAGAGCGTCATAAGTCGCCTCTGGACGCGCTATCGCATGACGGGCAGCGTGGCCGAGCGACATGGAGGACGATCTCGCATCACGACTCGCAGACAGGACCGGTATATCCAAAATACTGCTCGACGGAATCGTACCATGACTGCCATGATGTTGGTTACGAGGCTCCACAGCTCCTCAGGCTTGCTAATAAGCGATCAAACAATCCGAAATCGTTTACGTGAAGTGGGTCTGCGATCCCGAAGGCCGCTCAGAGTTCCACCTATTGCACCCTGCAATCGCAGGACCCGTTTACGATGGGCTCGCGAACACAGAAACTGGGAGGAAGAAGACTGGCGCTATGTGTGCTTTTCGGATGAATCCCGCTTCGGTATGAGACCGGATACAAGACGTACTCGAGTTTGGAGAACATCTGGACGTCATGAACGTTTGAGATATTGTCAGGAAGTTCATCCATATGGTGGGGGAACAATAATGATATGGGCCGGTATTTGGATCGGCGGAAGAACCGATCTCATTTGGATCAGGGGTAACCTCAATGCTCAAGTTTACGCAGAGAGGATTGTTTCAGATGTTATCATCCCTTTGCGAGGCCAGTTGGGTGATTCATTTCAACTAATGCATGACAACGCACGTCCACACACGGCTAGAGTCGTAACACGCATTCTTGCCGAAGCTCGTATCAACGTTCTGCCGTGGCCTGCTCAATCGCCAGACCTCAATCCAATTGAGCACGCATGGGATATGCTTCAAAGAAGAGCTGTGCCGAGTATGCATACCGTACATACTCTACAACAATATTTTGACTTGTTACAAAACACATGGGCGGCCATTCCTCAAAGTGATTTTGATGAACTCATCTTAAGCATGCCAAATCGCTGTAATTGTGTGATTCGTGTTAATGGTGGAAATACAGATTATTAATTTTCTTATCTTTACAATAAAAATGAGCAAAATCATCATTTTCGCCATTTTTTTGTAATTTAATTGACGCCGTTAATTTGAGTTTTTTCCCACAATTTGCAAAAAACATCAATTTTAGTTTATTTTAATTAAATATAGGGGTAAGCGGTTAAATAAAACATAAGCATTAAAGTAAGAAGTCGTCCTGGAAGACTGGATTTGGTAAATATTGCTTAAATAATTTTTATTTCAAAAATATTCACTTGATCCCTAGACACTTTTGATGTGTGTATTTTGACAAATCTCACGTTCTCGTATCACGTTACTTGATATCGAACGATATTATGATAGTTGTGGCCGACTCTAGTTTGTCTATCAATTAAAAAAGACTGCGGTTGCGTAACATGCGTGAAGAATTAGTTTTTTTACATTATTTTACTAATAATTACTGATAATAGCTCTGACCAATGCCGCAATGCCTGTCGTTACCTGCAGTTCCTGAGCACATCATACAGAGCTTATAATATGTGTATGTACAGCAGTGTATGTAACTGTACAAAATTAGACAATAAAACGCTCGTGTGATGTTTTTATGAAACCCACACTTGTATTTTAATGCCTTTCATTATGTAACAGTCACATAAACTACTATTGCTAACTTGTTCTGCCAAATCATTACGGTGACAACTGCACTTCGATTGGCCAGCCCGAATTCTAAACAATTGACGGGTGTCATCAATTGTTTCTTTCGCTATTTTCGCGGCGATGATTAAACAACAAAGATAGCTATATACGCAATTTTATGTCGTTGTCCTTGTTCTTCAAAATGTATAACAATAGTTCATTATCAGTGAAGCAAATTTAGATTTATCAACTGAATTAAATATTGTCACGGGAAGATTTATCACACATATTCTGCCATGCTACGACCACTGTTATGGATAGGCGTATCACTTACCAGGCGCACGACATGTTCGTCCCGTGACTTGGTGTCATATAAAAATGTATTTTACATTTCTTCAGGACGATCTTCTAGAACAATCCAGGGCACTTCTATCAGTAGCCGAACGATGCGACTCCTGGATGGACGCTGCGTACAATAAAGCAAAGAACATAGCTGGTACAGCCATTTACCCTTACTACGCGCCAGCTGTTGAGGTAAGTCTTTCGATTTCATAACGTCCTGGTACTTTTCGTCAATGTATACGTGCACGAAAAGACGTTTAAACCAGTTTCCAATCGCCTTTCATTGACAGTGACCACCAGAGATTGGCAGTGGGTCAAAACCCAATCAACTCACCCGGGTTTTAACCGGATTTTTTCCCAAAGCGCTGGATTTTAATAAGTTCGTGCCCAAAATCGTGGGCATGAACGGCGGAATTTAGTATATTTCGTCCTTATTAGTAAACAATTCTTTTTTATATGAAAAAGAGGCAACTCCTCACAATACCTACCTTGCAACATCTATTACAGATTCAATAAAAATTTAATGAATACAGTGAATAGCGACATCTCTCGCCAGGACTGGTAGCTGTAAAG